CATACAGAATGGCTCCAAAAGAGTTGCAAGAATTAAAGATTCAATTACAAGAATTGCTAGACAAAGGTTTTATTAGACCAAGCGTATCACCTTGGGGAGCTCCAGTTTTGTTTGTTAAGAAGAAGTACGGTTCAATGCGTATCTGCATTAACTACAGACAGCTTAATAAAGTGACTATCAAGAATAAATATCCACTTTCTCGAATCGATGACTTATTTGATCAATTAAAAGGAGCTTCAGTGTTCTCAAAAATTGATCTACGTTCGGGTTATCATCAATTAAAGATTCAAGTGTCCTCGAATTGGGTTTTCATTGATGATATTTTAATATATTCAAAGTCAGAGGAAGAGCATAGTTCTCATTTGAGGATTGCCTTGCAGAATTTACGAGACAAGAAGCTTTATGCTAAATTCTCTAAATGTGAATTCTGGTTGAATGAAGTGACATTTCTTGGACATGTAATTTCTGCAGAAGGAGTTCGAGTGGATCCTCAAAAGATTAAAGCTATTCTGGAGTGGGAAGTTCCAAATAATGTGTCAGAAGTTCGAAGTTTTCTGGGGTTAGCTGGTTATTATTGAAGGTTCGTTAAAAACTTTTCGATCATAGCTTTACCTCTAACTAAACTGTTGAGAAAGGAAGTAAAATTTGTTTGGACTCAAGAATGTCAAAAGAGCTTTGAAAAGTTAAAGAAGATTCTTACAGAAGCTCCAGTGCTAGTTCAACCTGAGTCTGGCAAGGATTTTGTAGTGTATAGTGATGCGCCTCATAATGGCTTGGGATGTGTGTTAATGCAAGAAGTCAAGGTGGTGGCCTATGCTTCGAGACAATTAAAGCCGCATGAGAAGAATTATCCGACACACGATCTGGAGATTGCTGCAGTAGTGTTTGCTCTTAAGATCTGGCGCCACTACTTGTATGGTGAAAAATGCTACTTGTATACAGATCACAAGAGTTTAAAGTACTTGATGACCCATAAAGAGTTGAATTTAAGACAGAGAAGATGGGTGGAATTTCTCAAAGATTATGATATTATGATTGATTTCCATCCCGGAAAGGCAAGCGTGGTAGCGGATGCCTTAAGCCGAAAGACGTTTGCAACCTTACGAGCTATGGATGTTAAACTATCATTAGGCGGAGATGGTGCGATTTGTGCGGAATTAACTATCAAACCATTATGGTTAGAACGAATTAAAAAATTACAAGCTAAAGATGAAAAGTGTTCAATGAAGTTGCAGCAAATAAAGAATGGATAGTGTACAGATTGTGAGATAAAAACTGATGGGAACCTATATTATCAAGGGAGGCTAGTGATTCCAGATGATAATGAATTAAAGAATGATTTATTAATGGAAGCTCACTGTAGTCCATTAACGATGCACCCAGAAGGAAACAAAATGTATATGGATCTCAAGAGTCGATATTGGTGGCTGGGAATGAAGAAAGGCATTACAAAATTTGTATCAAAATGTTTGATTTGTCAGCAAGTTAAGGCTGAGTATCAGGTTCCGTCGGGACTGTTACAATCAATTTCAATTCCTCAATGGAAATGGGAGAATGTAACAATGGATTTTGTGACGGGGTTGCCTTTAACTCCAAACAAAAGAGATTCAATATGGGTGATTGTAGACAGATTAACTAAGTCAGCCCATTTTATTCCGGTACGAACTGATTTCTCTATGGATAAATATGTTGAGCTGTATATCAGAGAGATTATACGGTTACATGGTGTACCTATTTCCATAGTTTCTGATCGGGATCCTAGATTCACGTCACGATTTTGGAAGTCTTTACATAGAGCATTGGGCACAAGACTAAATTTTAGCACATCGTTTCATCCTCAGACAGATGGTCAGTCTGAACGAACTATCCAAATTCTAGAGGATATGTTAAGATCTTGTGTTATCGAATTTAAGGAATCGTGGGAAAAATATTTGCCACTTGCTGAATTTGCATACAATAATAGTTATCAGTCAAGCATCAAAATGGCTCCCTATGAAGCTTTATATGGGAGAAGATGTCGTATACACTTGAATTGGTATGAACTTAAGGATCGAGAAGTTATTGGTCCTGAGTTGATTCAGGAAATGGAAGAGAAAGTCCAAGTAATTCAGAATAATCTGAAAGCTGCAGCTGATAGACAGAAATCATATGCTGATTTGAAAAGGAAAGAAATTGAGTTTCAAATCGGAGATAAAGTATTCTTGAAAGTGTCTCCTTGGAAGAAAGTATTGAGATTTGGACCTAAAGGAAAATTGAGTTCTCGGTTTATTGGACCATATGAAATTGTTAAGAGAGTGGGACCAGTGGCATATCAATTAGCTTTGCCACCTGGAATGGAGAAAATTCATAACGTCTTTCATGTATCAATGCTTAGGAAATATCGATCCGATCCATCTCATATTGTGACTACCGAAAAGATCGAGGTTCAACCAGATTTGAATTATGAGGAAGAACCTGTTCAAATATTGGCTCACGAAGTCAAGCAATTAAGGAACAAGACTATTCCATTAGTCAAATTGTTGTGGAGAAATCACAAGGTGGAAGAAGCGACGTGGGAACGTGAAGAGGACATGAAGATTCAATATCCCCATCTCTTTGTACAATGAAAATTCGAGGATGAATTTTCTTAAGGGGGAGAGATTTGTAATATCCCAAAATACGGGTTAGTGATTAACGTATAAAACTTCAGAGTTTGGTGATCGAAGTAGGATATTTGAATAGTTTAATGATTTGTTCAGAAATATTTCCTGAAAGTTATTAGTAATTATCCAAAGAATTAAAGGGCAAAATGGTCATTTAGCATGAAATATATTTTCCCCCCAATAATATGAATGAATCACGTAGAGGTGGGGGAAAGAGTTATCTGAAAACTATTTCTTCTTCCTTTCTTCTTCTCCCAACCGTAGAAGCTAGGCAAAGGTAAGGGTTTTCTGAGTTATTGATTATTTGTTAAATTAAAGGTTAGGTTTTGATCACTAGATGATAATTAAGCTTAAGGAAAGCTTAATTCGTTCTAAAACAACAAGATGAAAGATATATGAGAGATTAAAGATTTTGAGTTTTTGAATGAAATTTTGAAATAGAGTTGATGAGTTGAATTTTAAGTTAAATTTGACTTGTCATCTATGAGAATAAAAAGATAGAAGTGTTGGAATTAAGTTTGGATAATATGGAAAATTTAGTATAATTCTTGAATTGCATATGAGGGATAGAATTTTTAAGTTATAGATGATTTTCATGGATATAAGTTGGTTTAAGTAATGGTAGTTGAGTTTAATGATATGATAGGGGTTTAAAATAGAAGAATTAAGTGAAGAATTGATGATTTTCGGGCTTAAAGTACAATTTATGGGCAGAGGGAACTGATACCTATGAAGGGGAATCGATTCCCCTTCTTGAACGAAAAATTTCAAGTATGTTCAGGGGGTATCGATTCCCCCCTAAAGGAAAAATGAAATTTGGTTCAATAATCTGGCTTAAGATGTTAACATCAAGTTTAAGGTTTAGGCTTCTGATAGTTGTTTTGAAATGTTATATTTATGTAGATATTGAGCCTAAACAAGCTCTGGAATAATCAAGGGATTATAATTGATTCAAATCAAACAAGGCTAAGGTGAGTGCAATTTTAATTGTACTTATATTATTGAATGAACATTGGCTTGCGATGAGTCAGTGATGGAGTTACTATGGTAAGAAGTGACTCCTAAAATGTTATTTGATTGGTGATTCTTATATGTGCATGAATACATGAAATGAGTATAGGTTATTATATATGTTACATAATATGCATATGTGATATATGCTATGAGACATGACCAGTGTGAAATGAGATAAGCTATGTGACTATATGAAATGATATATGAATATGCAATACGTGATACATGTGATATGATATGAAATGGCATATGAATATGTAATACGTGATACATGTGATATGATATGAAATACATGGTTACACATACATGTGGTATGTGATAGAAGAGAAAGAACAAGTGATAAGAAATGTATTCATAATAAATGCCCATAGTATATGATACGAGAGTTATAGGTATAGTTGGTATGCCAAGAGTCGAGGGTTACATATGTCCTATAAGACATATGATAGGTCCTACGGGACACAGATTACATCCTTCAGGATGACAGGTCCTTCGGGACACAGATGATATCCTTCGGGATGATTGGTCCTTCGGGACATTTATATGAGCTGTGGTGACAACATGTGTGCACAACCTCAGTGTACTCGCATACCTCTATTCTCAATAATATACATGGGCAATACAATTGAAAGATAAATTAAAGTGAAAGTGGCACAAGAAGGTAACTTTTACATATGCATGACATGCTTATATATGTTATCGTGTAATAGATACATGCATGTTGAAATGTCATGATCAAATGATAAGAATGCATATTCATGAATTGGTTGTTAAATGTTTATTTATTGCCTCACTAAGTCTATGACTTAGCGTGTAAGTGATTTACACGTAGGTACCAAGAAACGAAAAGAGCAAGACAGTATTATTACTAGAAGATCAGATCAGAAGTAATCGACAAAGTATGTATTTTGGTGTGTATAGAGTGTTGGCATGTAATAAGTCGTTAATTACGAGTACTTTGATGGAGTTTGTATTTTGTGGTCATTTTTATGTAAATTAACGTATTTTGCTTTAAACAAAGTTTTAAATTTCTCTGTTTTTCAAAAGAGTCAAAGTTTGAAAAGTCAATGTGACACCTCGAACTTGTATTCGAGTCGGGTACGGGTTAAGGTGTTACAGTAATGCTAAGTGTTTACTATGGTATCATCCGTGTTAATGTGCTGAATTTTGATTGGATTTACTTTGATACGCTGGAAAGTTCAATGTTCTTGATATGCAGCTACTTTCGATTATTGTCTCGATGAATTAGATTGTTGTAATCTAATTTCTATTTATTTGAGCTTATATATGGACTATGGTTGTAATTGGAATGACGTTTTTTATATTATTGGCATTTATTTTTTGCAGAGCCAACATGATGAATTGGAGGCTAAGTTTTTCGAGGAAAGGGCAGTTCTTGAAGCTAAATATCAGAAACTATATCAACCCTTATATGTCAAGGTTTGCATTTTGGATTTTGGTTCCGTTTTGGTCCATTCGGTTATTGGTGTTTTCTTACAGGACTAGTTATCATACTTGCAGCGATAGACATTGTCAATGGTGTTGTCGAAGTTGAAGGAACAAAAACTGAAGCGGCCTCGGAGGACCAAGGAAAGGATAAAGATGCTGAAGGTTTGACCTTATTTATTCATTCACCTCCCATAACAGCCTTTTCTTTCTATCGTGGATGGTATTAAAGAAATTATGCTTTATGCAGAGAAAGGGGTGCCTGACTTTTGGCTTATTGCGATGAAAAACAATGAAGCTGTTGCTGATGAGGTGTGTTTTGGTCATACTTTCCGTTGCAGTACCCTTTTATTGGGTTGCAAATACTTGGGCTTGTCTTTATATCTTTCTGTGATTGAAATCAGATCATCGAGCGTGATGAGGAACCTCTCAAATATCTCAAGGATATCAAGTGGTCTAGGGTTGAGGAACCCAAAGGATTCAAGCTCGATTTCTATTTTGACACCAATCCTTATTTCAAGAACACTGTGTTGACAAAAACATATCACATGGTTGATGAGTATGAACCCATTCTTGAGAAAGCCACAGGGTGGATACTATTTCCATGTTTAAAAAAGTCTTATTGGATTATTTGATATCCAAGATTATCAGGTTTCTTAATTTGTTTTACTAAAACGTTTTTGCCCCTAATATGTAGGACGGAAATTGAATGGTATCCTGGAAAATGCTTAACGCAAAAGCTTCTTAAAAAGAGGCCTAAGAATGGATCAAAGAATTCCAAGCCAATGACCAAAACTGAAGAATGTGAGAGTTTCTTCAACTTCTTTGATCCTCCAGAAGTTCCCGGGGATAATGAAATCCTTGACAAAGATACTGTATGCCCAACGTCACCATATCTATGTAAATTTTGGTGATTGATTAATTACTTCTGCTATTCTAATGTTTTTTGCTTCCTTGCACAGGCTAAGGAGCTACAAAATCAAATGGAACAAGATTATGACGTCGGGTGTGTTCCCTTTTCAGCATATTCTAGTCACTGGCTTGTTTCACAGTTTGAACTACACCCATGCTTTTAATGAGATGCTGTTTAGGCAATATTACATGTATGGAATGTTATGCAATATGCTTCTTTTTGCGGGGTAACCATTCGAGACAAGATTATTCCTCATGCTGTGTCATGGTTTACAGGGGAAGCTATTCTGGCTGATGATTTTGATTTAGATGATGATGACACCGATGAAGATGATGGGCTTTATGATGATGATGATGAGGACGAAGATGATGATGAAGGCGACGACGGTGAGGATGATGAAGAAGGAACCGAGACCGATAAGGTATGAGATGTTAACTTGTACTGTTAAATGTGTGCCCGATTATTCGTAACCTAAACTTAATTACTTCGTTGTGTACAGCAGAAGGGTGCAAAAGCTCAGGGGGATGGGCAGCAGGGCGAGAGGCCTCAGGAATGCAAGCAGCAGTAGAATATAATCGCCGCCATCCGCGGATCCACAGATGCGTGTCGATGTTCGTGTGTGTTCTATTAGATGTCACAGTCAGAAGGAAAGAAGGGGCAAAGGGTTTGGGGTTTGCAGTTTTGATGGGCTGCTTATATTTTTACAATTTTCATGTTATACCATGAACGTGATTGGTTTGAAGAACCCTGGTCTGCTTCTAGTAATGGTAGCCACAGAAGTTTGGTGATTTTTTTTCTCTTTTTTGAAGAATCCAGAAACACTGGATTATATATAGTGTCCCCCCGTGTTCATGTTGGTATAGAGTTTTATCAATTATTTAATGGCCAGTTCGATTACGGTTGTTTTTTTAAATCCTCTTTGCGTGTTCCCCTTGACATGAGGCAAGTATTTTTTGCATCAATTTAATCTTCAAGGTACCATCAATCTTAAAACCTAAACCCTAAATTTTATTTAAAATTTTACATCCCAACTTAACCCTAAAGTTTTAAATTCCAAACCATAAATCCTAACCTAAATTTTTTAAAAAAAATAATAAAAATTTTAAACGTCGATGCAATCAAATAATTGGCAAAATTTTTAGATAATGGTGTTGAAAAAAGAATTCGTGAAATAATGATTCGAAGGAATTAAATGTCGAGATAGGATGGTTTTAAAAAAATTGGTCACCAGATGTTCCGGCCTGTATAGGTCGCTATGTCTTCCATGCGTGGTGGCCATGCAATTGCTTGATGCCTAGCAAGCAACATGGGAAATCTGGGAGTTGATTGGAAGGCTTGGCGACACCACATTGGGCGAGCTCGTGCAGGTTTTGCATGCATGCTTCACCATGCATTCACGTGGACCATTCAAGAGGGAGTTCAGTAATATATATTAGTAATTCCTTTTTGACAAGCCAAACACCAATCAATTCAAATAGGAGTTCGGTGTTTTTATTCACTTTTGTTTGGGAAATGCCACGATCAAGAAGCTTGGTCCAAGCCGACTGGAAAGCTTGGTCCAAGCCGACTGGAAAGCTTGGTGATACCCTTTGGTGTCGTATGGAAGGGATGGCGACACCCTTTTGTATCGCATGGAAGGGATGGCGACAAACTTGTACTGTAGTATCATCACCATTTAACGAAATAATTACTTCGAATTATTATTTCACGAATTCTTTTTCCCAACACCATTATCTAAAAAATTTTGCCCAACAAATAATTTTAACCTAATATAATAAGGATGAAAATAATAAATTAAATGAGCAAAATAACACTCAAACAAAATTAAAAATATATTGTCATATATTAAAATATCAGTTGCATTATAAAAATAATAGTATGTTTGGGGTAGTTTTAGGTGGGAAGCTCGTCGGAGTCGGTTGATGAACGGTGTAGTTTGATCAAGCAAACCCAGATGTAAGCACATGCTACTACAAATGTTGATCCATTGCACTTTGTTTTCACCTCGTTTTTCAGTAACTCGATTTGAGATCGTTTGATTTTGTGTGTGACCCGGAGATTATTGAAGAAACTGTAGGGTGAAATTGTGCCTTGGAGTGTCATCCCGATGTTGTTCATCAAAAGGGGTGCTAATCCGAGAGGATCGCTGATCGAATCCCGGTGGAAAACCGGTAAATGATCGTCGAGACAAGCCGGATCGTTTCGATGCCGATGAGCCGATGCCCATGATTTCATGAAGTGAGCAAACGTCCTCCCTCGGCTACATTATGGGAGAAGCCGACGCCTATGGAAAACCCTGCATTGGGAAACGCGGTGACTTGAACCGCCATGGCTGGCTCTAGCTTGCACCCATCAACGGACATGCTTTCAACCGCGGGTGGCTTTCGGGGTACAAGAGGAAGAAACCTTCCATGGTCACGCGCATGATCACCGACTAGATGATCAAAATCCGCCGATGATTCCTTAACGACAAACGAAACGGAGTCGCCCTCCGTGAAGACGATGTAAGGAATCCGAGGCGGAGGAGGGAACACGAAGTTTCCGGCAAAAGGGATTAAAACGTCGCAGAGTGAGCGACAGAGATTATTTGAGATCGGGAAGAATGCTTCGGATGAAACCGGAGGTGGGGTGTTTGGATTCATAGAAAAACAGGCGTTGCATGCAGTTGCAATCGACTGGTATAGTTACGAGGTAGAGTACATGGAAGAAGGTGAGTGGGAGAGAAGTTGTGGGAACTGAGCACGGTGGAGGAGAAACACGGCTCTCATATTCAACTACTTCCACTGTACTTTCCGGTGGAATCGCCATTGATGAGATTAATTGGCCGAGAAACTGTTGGAACTTTGGATTACTCTTAAAAAATTGCTAAAAAGATCATCTTTAACATGTGGGAAGTGAGTATACGTGAATTCAACTAAAACTTTTAGAAGTTACGAAAATATATGAACTTTAAAATTTGTTTATAGGACAAGGCAGCCGAAGTTGTGGATCGGACTTAATAAAATACTTGGACAAGTGGCGACTTCATTACATGCAACGAATACCGTGTAAAAACTAAAAAGGGTTAACTATATGCTTGATCATTTATATTTGTATTTTATTTACTTTTCTTTGCTGATTTTAAAAAAGATATATATAGTCACTTTTGTTTTTATTTAATTAAGATGTGGTTGTCACGAGTTAAGTGCAATTAAATATCTTATTATAATCACACATCTGATCCATATTAGTTACATATTCTTGCAATTTAACCATACTTTTAATAAATTAAAATAAATTTAATCATTCAATTGAATGATGTCGTGTGTCACTAGTATCACATATCACCATTCGGTTTGAGGATTAACTTTATTTTAATTTATTTTAATTTAAATGAGGTTCGAACCGAATGATGTTGAAGAATCAACATATGAGTTGTGATTAGGGGTGAAATGCCACTTGAACCCACAGCTAACTAATTTTCCCCGAAATGTGTTGAGGCACAGCAATTGACTAGACATCTAGGGGTAAAGCATTGTTTCGGTGCAGACCATGAGAGTGGCTGTATATTATGTAAATAACAGAGATTAAATGTGTGATTATACCAAAATACCACATCACTTAACTAACAACAGTTATTCCATAGTGATCATATCTTAATATTGATAAATGTCCGTAATAGTTGAAGATAGATCTCGATTAAATTGAGTTAATGTTATTTTTTAACGAATCATAATTTCATATCTATTTTTATATCAGTGTTTGAAATATTTATCATTCGTAGTCAATAATGATGTTTATATATGTTTATTTTAAATTTTTTTCTTACATGATTTTTGAATATTTAAATAACTTATTTATATATACTTCACTGGAGATTTATAAAGTTACTTCAAAATATTTTGTTTGACCTGGATCGAAGGGGAGCGGGGGAGCAATCGTCTCTTAAAAATTTAAAATTATCATATACTTTAAATTTTTTCTATGTACTTCCTATTGAAAATTTGTTTCGTCCTCTGAAATTTTAGTTCATCATTTTTAAGATTAAATTCGTCCCTAATATAAAACCTTATTTCCGTCTAGGATCGAACCTTCAATTTCAATCACCATATATCAATAATTAAAAAGAGAACGAATCTTATAAACAAAGTCAAAAGTAAACAATGATTAAAAAGGAGATATATCATAAACCGTTTAGGGATGATAACGGGCCGGGTATTGGTCTCTTCATCCCTGTTTAAAAAATTCGTACCCGTCATCGTTTAAAAAATCGCGGAGATTTAAACGAGAATTCTCATCGGGTAATCAGGGAAAATCGTGGGAAAACATGTATCCTCGTTTAGCATAAACGGTTATTTAAACAGGTATCGGGCCGGGTATATATATTTAAATTAAATATATATATATTATATATATATATATTAATTTAAATTAAATTTATTAATATTATATATATATATATATATAATAATTATTTTAAATATGTATCGGGTCAGGTATCAGGCCAGGTAATCGGGTAATCGAGGCGGGGATTACTAAACCCGTCCCCGTCCCCGTCCCCATTTAGCATAAACAGTCTTTTCTGTCCCCATCCCCGTCCCCATTTATCATCTCCGAATCTGACTCGTTTAATTCAATTTTTGATTTTCTATGTCGGGTTCGAGTTTTTTTGCCATCCCTAAGAATATTTCCTTCTTTTTTTTTCTTCTTATTTTAGTTGAACCCAAAGATGGGCTTCCAGATTTGGAAAATGGGTTTTTGTTTTTGGGCATGCTTTTTCTAAGTGCACAGGCTACTGCTGTTGAAGGAACTGTCAATATTATTATTTTTATTAATTTAGTGCGATTATAAGTAATAGTATATGTTATAAAGATTTTTAATTATTTTATAATAAATATTTAAATACCATATAATCGTTGGTGTTCGAACTTAAGACCTCTAAAAATAATAATTATCCCTTTAACTATTAACATTATTGATTTGAGCAATTGTCACTATTGTTGGGAAGGTACAGTGGATGATGATTTTTGTTTGTGCTACTTTGGATTGTTGGCCTACTGAGAGATGTAATTATGGGACATGAGAATGTTAGTAACACACATATATATATATGAGCAATATATTGTTACATAATGTAAAACACTTAACGTTTTAGTCTTAAACTATTAGTTTTAGTCCATTTTAGTACTTAAGTTTTTATTTTTTTTAAAATTATACTTAACATTTAGATTTTATTTCATTTTAGTACCTATCGTTAAAAACTTAACATCTTTAGTACCTGAATTGTCAGTTTTGGCCCGTTTTAGTACTCAAACTTTTAGTTCTTTCAAAACTTAACGTTAAATTTTGAACAGATGTACTAAAATGAAACAAAAATTAAAGTTTTTAACGACGAGGTATTAAAATGA